TGGTGGAGCAATTGCTCCAACAATGAATGAACCATGAACACACATTCCTCCTTCAGCCACGCCGATTTTAATTTAGATGCCGGCATGCCCCTTGCACAAGTTTCAAAACAACAGCTCTCCTCCAACAAAGATAAGACGTTAACTCCACTGCTAAGTCCAGGCTACGCTGCCTCGTTCAATGCTTGGATCTACTTTACTTAGGACACAACCGGCGTACAAGTAGGTATTGTTCGAGATGAACAAAAAACATCTACTTTGATGTGCAGGAATCTATACAATAAGCACAAACCCCCTTATCCCACTGGAAATCTATATGTTGAAAGGAGACCTGGAAGCTTTACCCCTCTTCTGGATGAAGCAAAGGTGCCTTGGAATAGAACGTTTATGGCCAGGTACTTCTCATAGGAAGCCAGGGGCTCAAAGGGAGGATGCATGGGCTTATTGAGATCCAAATGCAGCTCTCAAAGGGCGTGACCTGATCTGCTGCACGGTTTTTAATAACATTGTGAGGCACGTGGTGCCTTCTTGCGGCTGGCGATCCAACTGATCACGGCACGTCCAAATGGCTGGCGACCGTACCCTGACTGTTGCCACTGGTCTATCCACGTATAACACCCGCTGAGGGCGGTTTTGTTGCCTCAGGTTGACCGCATGAGAGGGAATCTACCTCCTCATTCGCACACCAATCCAATCAGCAGTCATCCTTCAGTAGCATTTAAACAACCTCGATGTCAGCACCCCATGGGATTTTTGCGGAAAGTTCTGAATTCGATTCTAACAAACCCAGGCCTTTAAAACACTGACGCTCAATTTCCAGGTCCATTAGCTGCAAACAGAAAATGTTCCTCACCGGAACGTTTGGCCCTCATGAAATGACAAGTACCACAAGTAAAATGACCCATTTTCTCGAATTGACTCTTAATTATATGTCTGGGTGAGGTGGCAGCAGGAGGGAGCATAATGAAGGTGGCAAGAGATGTTTTCGGGAAAAACTGCATCTCTAATTACTGTCCTCGGGTCCACAGAAAACACGGAGGGAATTTGCGAACAGAGGAGAGCTGTGATGCCGTGCAGGTGTTGGTACTGATAGTGGAGCTAAGAAAATGCACGCACGCTGTACACTCCTGCACTGCAGCTGTGGTGCCCAAAGGCACTGCTTAACGCGACACGACTGTGCGCGTGCGGTCTCGTGAACTCTAATGGCAAACTCCACTTTTATGTATAACACAAAATCGTAATTGAGTGTCACGGTGGAGAATGTTAATAACAGAATTTGGTCACAATCCTCCAATTCCACAAATATGCACTTGGCCTAGGGGTTGTGTAAAAAAACGTTATTTTTGTTGGCGGAGTGAGATAAATATGGCACGGAGGTATTCTTTTATTTTGACTTTAATTTAGTTTTTGTGGAACCACGATATGATCACAGCAAAGATGTCACTGGGCTGATCTGTGAGTTCTCTCTCAGCACTCAAAACAATAAACAAGGGAACAAGGATCGCAATGAAAAGCAATTGTTGATTTTTTAATATTATAATCTGATCTAGTTAACTCCACCGGATATTTGTTTCTGCCTGTCCCAAGCCAGGATAAAAGGAGGAGGGTTGGCGTCTGGTGGCAACTGGCCGTAAAACCCTAAAGCCAAAACATGGAAAGTCCTTGCAAACACATGGCCCTCAGCCCCCTGCAGCCCTTAAGTGGGTGGAGGGTGCAAAGAATCACAGGACCCAATGACTCTGGCGCTGCAGGGAGTGCAGACCCGGGCGGTATTAGTTACGTTTAACACGTAGGCTTTCGCGACAAATATTATTCATATCTTAATTTTTGGAGCTTTCGTGACTGCAGGAATTATTCTTTGATTTTTTCGGTAAATTTTTTCCCTACCCCCTCCCTCTCTCTGCCTCCGCCCCCCTCTGTCTATTTAAGGCCACCCCACAGAGACGATCCCCCCTCTCTGTGCCTGTGTTGCTCTCTCTATGTATCTTGGTGATATCTGTCTGCTTACATGTCTGTCTATAGTTTTCTGGTTAGATTCTATGTCGCTATTTCATTATACCTGATGATTGCTTGTGTTGCAATCGAAACGTCGTATGCTATTATTTAATTTATTCTTTTATCTTTATACGTGACTTTACCAAAAAAAACAAAGAATAATATTATTCATAATATAGGTTTTTGGGTCAGATCGCGTATTATTAAATAAATACAATTACAATTACTTATAAGGGAAACAAACACCAATGAATAACAATTGATTGATTACCAATCTATATCATTACAATACCCTACCCCTCTTTGCCTCGACTCACTGCACCAGATTGAATTGAATCAAATGATGACGTCACCCTGATGCTGTTCTATTTAAGACCGGAAGCAACAGGAGAGCTTCACCATTCTTGCCCGATGAAGCTGATTGTAACTATCAGCGAAACGTCATACTCAAATTTAAAATGCTGTTGATTCTCTCTTCAGCACACCGGTGGGCTAAAGAAGTGAATTATTTTGTCCTTTGAAAAACGTGACACATTTTTTACTATTTGGCCGTGTCGAGTGGTGAAGGGTTACGACACATTTATAAATAAGGCGATCTGACCCAAAAACCTATATTATGAGTAGTTACGTTGTCTGCACATATCAAGGTGAAGAAAAAATGGAAATAGCAGAAGGTTGTTAGAGAGGAAGGTATGGTTGGCCACATGGAATATTGGAACAATGACAGAAAAAGGTCAGGATCTAGTGGACTTCTTGAGAAGAAGGAAAGTCGACATCGTATACATCCAGGAAACAAAATGGAAATGCAGCAATTTGAAAGAGACTGCCTGTGGTTGTAAATTGTTATACCATGGAACCACAGTAAGGCGAAATGGGGTTGGAGTTGTGCTGAGTGAGGAGATTAAGATAAAATCGGTGGAAGTCAGAAGAGTGAATGACAGACTGATCATAGTCAGACTAGTACTGGGCAGTGGGGTTTTAAATGGGGTGTGTGTGTATGCCCTGCAGGTGGGCTGCAGTGGGCAAGAGGATGAATTTTGGGAGACTTTAGACCAGGAATTTAAGAGCTTACCGGTAGATGAAGCAGTGGTGATGAGCGCAGACTTAAATGGAAGAGTGGGAAAGGTAAGGACAGATATGAATGGAACCATTCATATCCGCTTCACGAATTTGCGTGCTGATGGATCATTAGAAGGAGGTATTAGAACAAGAACAAGGGCTGGATGGCTGAAATGGCGAAAGATGACCGGTGTGGTGTGTGATAAGAGGGTCCCAGTTTGGTTGAAGGGAAAAGTGTACAAGACGGTGGTGAGGCCGGTGCTGTTGTATGGGGCCGAGTTATGGGGCACAAGAAAGAGGGAGGACCAAGCTATGGCAGTTACGGAGATGAGGATGTTGCGGTGAATGTTTGGTTTAACAAGGAAGGGACAGGGGGTGAGAAATGAAGTGAGAGGAAGACTCAAGGTGGTAGAAATCACAGCGAAGACGAGAGAGAAAACGCCGGTGTGGTTCGGTCATGTGGAGAGACCACAGGAAAAGTATGTGGGTCAGAAGGTGCAAGTTATGCAAGGGGATGGAAAGAAATCAAGAGGAAGGCAGAAGAAGAAGAGGTTGGGCGATGTGGTGTGATCGGACACGGTGGCATGAGGAGCGGAAAAAGAGATGGTGCAGGACTGGCCAGTGTGGAGGTTAGCAAGGGCAGCGGATCCCACATAAGTGGGACAAACGCGTGGAAGAAGAAGATAATCTAATCTAATTCTAGATTTGAAGTATTCGTGACTGCAAGGATCCATACTCTTTGGTTTTTTCGGTAAAGTCACGTAGGTTAAAAGAAAACAAACACTCACTTGATACAGTAATTTTGCTGTGACGGTTCCACCTGAAGACGGAAGCTTGTGTTGCCTCCGAAAACGTCGTGATTTAATTTGTTTGTTTTCTTTAAACCTACGTGACTTTACCGAAAAAAACAAAGAGTATAATCTAATCTAGTTGCCAAGATTATTATCATTGTCATTGCTGTTGTTATTGGGACATTAATCAAATGATTCAGATTGTTATTGTTACGATTAATAAATAGCAGGAGTACTATTACGGTGATATCAAAGAGCGCGTTTGGTGTTCTTCACCAGATGTGTGGTCTCCCCATCATTTAACAATCCTGGGGTAAGCGTGTCATATTCATTTGGGTTTTTCAGATCAGATCATCTTACTCCATAGGGTGTTCACAGTTGTGCTGCACTGCTTTCCATTTCGCGATCGGGTTGTGGCGCGTGTTGTTCGCCGTGATGTCCGACGTTCCGCTCCGTGTGCTGGGTTAAAGAAAATAATCTTGCGGCTTCTGATGGTGGGGCAAGGTAACAATTGATCACGTGGCCATATTGGGTTGCACAACTCCAATCACTGCGCACCTCAAGCAGGTACACATTTAGTGAGGCACGCTTTGTGCTACCCTGCGCAGCGAGAATGATGGTGCAGACATCCCCTCGCCTGATTGGTGATCTCAGCGTCAGCAGGCGACAGTGCCTCTCTTGATGGGGCATTCACGTGGATGGTAAGACTGTCATTCCCAATTGCATGGCGAGTGATTTTGGGTCATTTTCTCCACAATGTTCATCGAGAATGGAACGATACCCTTTGTCACTGTATCGCAAACACATACACAGGGTTTTTTTTTTATATAATCTGCGGTATTCATCTTCTTGGTTCTTTCGGTAAAGTCACGTAGAAGGGAAATAATAAAATAATAAAAATTAGACTAATAAAATACAATTCTCTTCTACGTGACTTTACCGACAGAACCAAGAAGATGAATCCCTGCAGTGACGAAAGCTTTAAATCAAAATTTAATCTGCGGTAATTTAAAACTCTTTGCAGGTAAAAGCAACAAGTGAAAAATCACGCAATATTTACGAAAAATGTAGAAAATACTCGTGATAGTTTGTGCTGTTCATTTATTGCAAGTATTAAGATAAAATACAAAGTCATAATACATGTGGTATAATGGGCAGGGACGTACGTACATTTTAACCTTCATTAGATTGTTTTATAAAACTCCATTGGTTTGTACGTTCACTTGAGACGGGTGTGCACGATACGTGTGCAGTCACAGTGCAGCTCACACTTCTGGGTTGATGCTGTCCCTGTTTTCTTTTGGTTCGCTCGCAAGGTTAGCTTTCTCTGTCCGTGTGTGCCACACCAACACCTGTAAGAGACAAACCATATTCATGGCACGCGGTCCAGAAACATTAACAACAACAGAATAACAAAAAACTTCAAAGTGTGAAAAGAAGCAAAGGAGAGATGCGTGCTTAGAATTACATTGAGAGATAGAAATAGGAACATGGGTTATTGGAAATACACAAGCTAATTCAAACTGTGAACAAAAGTAAGTGGATAATAGAGGGGTTTTTTTGGGTTAGATCGCGCAACTATATAAATATGTCGTTAGACCCGCCACCACCCGACACAGCCAACTCGTAAGAATTGTCACGTGCCAATTCGTCACTAGTATAGCAACACCGGTGTGTTGGAGAGCCAAGCCACAACATTTACAATCTGAGTATGACGTTTCGCCAGTAATTACAACTAGCTTCATCAGGCGACAGCCAGATTTGTGGAGAAGTCCACCTCATTGGAATGTTCTGTCGTGGGACCTCCTTTGCCAGTACCAAAATATGAGAAAAGGTTTTCTCCTTTTTTCTGGCAACAAAACAGGTGTTAAGATGTTAAAACACCAAACTGAAACCTTTTACAAGGAATCATGTCTGCATTAACCACAATACTTGTGGTCAGAATGCCTATTGGCGTCCTCTGGTCTAACACCGTTTGAGAATAGGCTCGAAAGAAAGCTGTCTCTGGTGTGGACCAATCAGTTTCAAAGACAATGCATATATTATCAGAGGTTTTTTTTGCATTCTGACCACAAGTATTGTGTTTAATGCCGACATGATTCCTTGTAAAAGGTTTCAGTTTGGTGTTTTAACATCTTAACAGCTGTTTTGTTTGCCATTTGCCAGAAAAAAGGGGAAACCCTATTCTAATGGCATGTTCTGTTTACGTAACAACCCTTACTAGTTGGCTGTGTTGGGTGGTGGCGGGTTTAACGACACATATATATATTTACGCGATCTAACCCAAAAAAAACCTCTATTATGAATGATATTGGTCGCGAAAGCCTACATGTTAAAAAGTAAGTGGGTTTGGGAGGGATATGACGTAAGAAGGGATGATGGCCGATGGTCTTGAATAGTGACTAAGTGGCAGTCAATGAGTGGAATTCTTTAGAGACGTTGCCAACCAAGGAGACGGAGCCATGAAATCTGCTCGTGTGCAGGTGCGTTGTGCATTGTTCCATTGCGGGATGACGGGAGATGGGTGGCTTGGGGAGGTCCTCCTCCAGCAGTTGATTGACATAAAATGTCCACCTGTCACAGGTGTGTCGTTGGTATGTTCCAAATCCCAGACGAATAATTATTCTTCCTGTGAGAACAGATGGGGTGCCTGTATAAGGCGGCACTGCCAGTAGGTGGCTGACCTATCTGTGCCGAGCTCGATTGCTCTCCACTCCTTGCCTCTCTGCTTTTCTCCTACACTCAAATAATTAACTTCAAGTAAAGTTTCGCCAAACATCCTATGCAGGACATTAGGGCTCAATAAAAATAAACTTTACGGGTAAACATTTGTCTTCAGATTTCAATTAGTTTCTATAATAGCAATAATAATAAAAAATATAATTACATTATCCTAAGCACTCCTGCTTAAAGCACAGCTTACGTTTATTATTATTGTTGTTACTGTTTATTCTTCCTAACTGTCCCCTCTCGTCACACTGCACTCTCCTTCACGCTCTCTCTCTCTCGTTGCTTCAGCAGCCAAGGTTTCTTGTCAAAGCTGCGAGTCAACCTTAACTCAGTGGAAGGTCGCTCATTTTTCTTTACTGCCCACATAGTCTGGAACGCACTTTTCCTCCAACCATACATGCCGTGCGCTCCCCCTTCTTTTCAAGTGCAGGCTGAAAACCTTCCCGTTGTGTTCTCTGCCTACGACCAACTGCCTCTCTCGATTCAAGCAAGCGGCCCACGTCTCTCTGTACGGTCCTGAGATTTGGTCATATTTAAACACCACGTAGATACAAATGCGTTGACATTGTATTCCATGGGACATAATAATAATGCATTTATACTAATCCAACGTCATTTAATTTTACAGACAGCTTCAGGTAGGGCAATGCATACAAATTGGAAACTTCAGTGCCACTCAACTCACAGCCGCAATTGCATTAATTGGCAGGCTTGTCAATTAAATGCGAATCAGCAAGTACATTAATTGGCAAACCCTCCGGACAATGCAATGCCATGACCTCACCATGCTTACAACTGGCAGTGTAGTCTGCGCCAGCCTGCTCGCCTATGTCCAGCAACGCTCATTATATTCCACACTCCGCTCTGCATGGAGGTGCGTGGCAGTGATTCATTATCAACGACCTTGTTGTCGTCTCGAGCTTCAATTTTACAGCGGCAAAAATGTGCCCTGTGTTTGCTGCGCTGCCGTGCACTTTGGCATTGTTCCACCTGCAGCAAAGTGGCCATGAAACGGGCTGAATGCAATGTGCGCGCTGTGGGAGAAGGCATAGAGATCCGTTGACAGGACATTGTATGGCGACTCGTTGTTTTGGCACAACATTTAAATCTTGACTTAAAGCGTTCGTGACTGCAGGAATTCATATTCTTTGGGTCTATCTACGTGACTTTACCGAAAGACCCAAAGAATATGGCACGACATTTGTTCTACTCCTCTGCAGCCGAGGTGGGTAGCTCCACAAAAAGGTCTGACGTTTGCTATAAATGTACTCGATGAACGTAGGTACTAGGCATGTAGACTGTGGCGACCGGGGTGGTGGTGATGCACTTCTCCTGTATTTCGGCACTGTGGAGGCAAGTGAGGTTTGGTGGATCGCACGAATATTGAGCCACTCCCTTCTTGCGGCGTTGAGGTGCCATACCCTGGCTTTTCCAGGAGAAGGCGGAACAACAAAATGTGGACTAATCTCCAGTTGTATCCCTGCCGTATGGGAGAGCGTGTTGCTCCCTCGCACGTGTGCGTCTTCTACGGGTGCTCCAGCTGCCTCCGCGCATGTATTAAAGCGCGTTCATTCAATGAGAACATCTTGACGAATAAAGGACTGCAGAGCCAGGGCAATTGTTGCCACCGGCTCACTGCCTGGCCACCTTGCGCCTGTGTGGTTCCTCTACGGATCGTGAGATGCAGTGCGCATGGATGGCACGAAATGAAACTAAAATAAGCATCAAACAGTATGACCAGATCACCTGGAGCGCGCCCGATCTCATCACATCTCAGGAGCTAAAGCAGTGTTCAGCCTGGATACACTTGGTCTTAAAGACTGCTATGGGGCTACGATGTTCGCAGCATAATGCAGTGGACGTTGCATTGTTGTGCTATACGATGCTCCAAACGCATACTGGCCAGCAGGGTGAAGTATGGCCAAAACCCCCCACGTAGCACACAGCATAGGGAGAGACCCTCATCCAGGAGTGGCAATGCACACAAGCACTGTACTCGACGTGGCGTGATTAACACCGCCTTCCATGACTCTCTCCAAAGCTGTGATTTGGGGTCATAATTAGATTCATGAATGACCCCAATCAGTTTTGTTCACTTTGTAAGGCTAAAACAGAGCCTTTGGCATCTCGGTTTGCATGCAATTGGGTAAATCCCGATCAAGTCTCAATTTGATACGTGTATCTTTCTGATTTTGTCCTTTGAATCGCACCTCCGATTAGCAAGATTGGCTACGTAGAGTGCGAAAAAGTTCAACATAAATACAAATCGATTTTTCTTTACATGTGTAGTCGGTACACATTTATGCATATTAAGTATTTGCTATTTTATACAATGCTCTGTATTTGCATAAACAATAGGAATACTCAGTGATACATAGAGAATAGGTTAGGTTTGATATGGAAATGATATGGCAATACTACAATATATTGTGTACTGTGAGAGCCGCAATAATTGTGTTGTCCATCTTGCAAAATATCATTGTATCGTGATTATTATTATTAATACGATTGTTTACCCAGTGAAGCCTCACTGACTCTCTAGACTATATTTCAGGCAGTTCCTGTCAAGTATTCGGAATGAGGGCCGATGTTGCTACGTGTATTCCCAACAGAGTAATTTTCGGTGTCATTTTCAGCATTGCTATGTTTGGCCAATACCAGTTGCATTATCTTTTGTTTTATCTATGGGAGAAAACCGCAGAACCTTGAGAAAATCTTTACAGAGCAGAGGAAAAACGTGTGAACTCCACACAGCAAGGTGCACGAGCCAGAAATCACACCCAGGCACTTCCTGCTGCGAGGTACAAGTGTTACAACTGCACCACTCTGCCACCCATTTATTTTATTTTCCTGAAAATTGTATTTCCTAAAAATATATTTCTGAAATAATAAAGTTATTGGTACTTTAGAAAAATTCGTTTTTTCCTCCAAGTAACTGATGGCATCCAATTTATATGACCTTATACTTTTCCTCTTCCATTTAATTGCGTAATTATTTCTGACAGCATTTGCCTTATGCAAGTTATAGAAATGTTTTTCTTCGTGGAGCAGTGGAAGGAGTACTATGAAGATGAAAAAAAACAGAGACATACATGCTTAGATATACACCGAGAGGCAGAAAGAGTAACACATGCATCAGGCATCGTATTGGTCTACATCTAGCAGCAGAGAGATCATGGCTCATGACGATGATGAAGAGTGGCTTGAGCCTATCCTGGTCTCACACCTGATTCCCTACACCGGTAGAGGTGCACGTGCCAGTCATGGAAACCACGGGAGGAAGATCTGGCCCGAGGCCTTAAATACATTCAAAATAAATGTCAATGCGTTCCCTTATAAACACGATAATATTGCAAGGAATGAGAAGCCATCACACGTATGAACGTCATCTTGTTATCAATAATGTATTCATTTTTGATGTTTCCAAGTGCACCGGCGGCCAAAAAGACGTGGTCACTAGCGTATGCACGATATAATATTTCACGCCTGGTATTCTTAAGAGCACAGAGGCACTTTGGCGTTTTATCCGAAAAAATAAAATGCCTCTCGTCAGTTTCATAAAACCTCCATGTGTCACAACGTGCACGCAGCAAACATTCACAAATGTCGTGGAGCATAAATACTCATAAAGATCACGAGTTAAAGCACCGTGTTGCTGAATCCACGCTGGGCATCTCACCTTGGTGCAGTTATCTGCCTTGGGCTCCAGCTCCTCCATGGTGGTGATCTGCTTGAGAAAGTCGGACTCCTGCATGCCGGGCTGCGAGCCTCTCCTCTTGAACACGGCCATGTGGTGAGATAGCAAAACCTCCAGGTTCACAGCAAAGCCTGTGGGGCGGGTGGGGGGGAGAGAGCGTGGTGGAGTACACATTTTCCAATCACGATCCTTATGCAGCTTTATCTTCAGTCGCTTACGAGTGTAACAAATATCGGTCTGGGTGACTTGTAGCCATCACATGAGGTTATCCACGACGTGTTATTTTTTATTTCAGCAATTTCTCTGCCCCCCCCCCACCTTATCCCCCCCACCCCCATCCTTTGCCCCCCCCCCCTCTCTACCTCGAACCGTGCCTTGGTTAGAAAAGGAGCCTGGTACACCCTAAAGAGCCCCCGTTTGGGGAGAGAGAAATACCCAGCGGACACAAACTCTGGGTAAACAAACTATTGGTGCTCTCTGTCATGATCGTGGGTTCCGGTTCAATAAAAAAAATTAAATGTAAGCAATTTTAATGTATCAACGATGTGTGTGTGTGTGAATGCGATTAGCAACGTTCGTTTTTATTGTTTCGCGTTTTTGTGAGAAAAAACTTTCGCGGCTTGCGTAATTGCAGAGCGGTGGACTTGTTCACATCTAGTCATTATCGTATCCCCAGTGTAACGAACAATAGTTTACACGAGCGGACATATGTTAACATAGGTTATGTTACAGATATGTTCGGTTCCACATTCCTTTAGCTCCATTGCAAAGTGCATTTAGAACAGCTGTTTGCAAGTATGGAAAGTGGTCTAAAAATAAGGACGTACAAATATTCCGAAGATGAGCAATATCTTTGAATATTTGTTCCTCGGGGGAATGAACATGAATTCTTGGGGTAAGTAATATTTAATAATATTTAGCGTTTGTATATATTCTCACTGGCACCTTCCAATCTCACTCCTATCCTCTCTTATATCCACCCCATGAGGCCAAATCACTGGCCTGGGCAAATTGCATGTTGCTAGGAAGCAGTTCTGAGTGGTAGTTGGAAAGGAGGTTTCGAAGGTAGGTCAAAGTAATGGGTTATTTATTCTCATTGCATTTCAAGTGTTACTCCCCCCGCATGAGTTTCCTCACAATCCTTACGAAGGCATTGTCCATACATCACAATGTAAGTCATTTCTTTGAAATCGAGAACCCGGGTCTGGCTTTACCGGCGTTCGCCTCACAATAGCTGTTGCTGCTGCACCTGCTGTGAAACAACCCACGTGCTCCAGGCTGCGACGCCACGCACAGGCGGCGCAATCAGCCGTGGGCGACGGGGGAGACTTGTGACAGAAGGTCAGCCGAAGCATGGCACGCACCCAAGATCGTGATCGCCACACACAGAGATGCAGTGATGGGATCACCTCGTGCGGTGGGAGTTTAAAGGATTCTGGCATCGCAAGACCGTGAATGGACAGGGTGTGTGGGTATGCCTTCATCCAGCAGTGGATAGATCAAGGTTGATTGATGATAATGATGACATACCTGTCAACCAATACGGTTTACCCCTATTCTTGTACAGCCGTTTCAATACGGAAAAACGTTGTTGTCTATCTGTTTGTGTTTCTCCCTTGTGAAGGGACTTTGTAGGATGAACGTTGAGATTAATAAGGGGCATGGGGTGACCAATACGGTCTGAATTGGTCTGTAATAAGGTAGGGCAATGATAATGGGTTGATAGATATGGTGTAGCGTATAATGTAGTATAGTGTAGTGTATAGTGTAGTGTATAGGATGAACGTTGAGATGTATAAGGGGCACGGGGTGACCAATAAGGTCTGAATTGGTCCACAATAATGTAGGGCAGTGATGAAGGGATTGACAGGGATGTAATGACGACCTCGTGTGGGTCTTTCACCAACGTTCTTGCAATGAATGTGCGTACCTGCCATATCGGTGGCGAAGGGCCGGTCGGGCCGCCAGCCCGTGTACCACCCCACGACGCGGCCTCTCTCCACCAGGGGCCGCTCGTAGCGTCGTCCGCCCACGAGCCCCACTGGCCACACGCCCACCTGGTGGACGCTGCGAATCTGCGGGACAGAGATAGACCACCACCACCACACCAAACCCCAACAGTTATCGCCACTTGTGCAGCAGCAGGAATGGACTTGTGTACTTTCGTGTGCAGGAAACCCTTATCCAACGCGGCTTTAGCGGATACGTGTTTTTTTTGGTCTTGCGATACAGGGTTTAGGGGCCGTCCATAAATGATGTCACACACCTGGGGGGGGGAGGGGGGTCAGACATTTGTGACAATGTGTGACGAGGGGGGAGGGGGGGTTTGAGAAATGTCACGTCACGTGAAAATGCGCAACTTTAAATAAATATAAACAATTAAATTGTTAGAACAACACTAATTTTGATTAATTTTCATTATTAACTATTTTATTATTTAAGTTTACTAAGGTCACCTTTTATTTATTCCATGAAGGAGCATTTTGCGTCTCCATGGGAGAATGGAGAAGCATAAATTTAGTAAATTGTTTGAATGATTATTATTAAACATTTTGATTTTAATGATTCTACCAGGGCTTTTCATTCTGTGGAATGAATATGTGATTGTTATAATTGTACTCTCCATTTTGCTTCGTTCTACTACAAAGTTTCAAGTATTTTTTAAATAGTTATAATTACTTTTTATATTTTATAGTTATAAGGGAATTTCAATATAATATTCTGAACATCTGCAGTTTTAGTTAGACGTTGAATATTGTCAAGTGAAATATATGCTAAATTTCAGCTTTCCAACGCCTCCTTTTTAATGTGTTTCTCCTACAAATATCAGAGTGCAGCGCCACATTAAATACGCACTACAATGACAATAGTCTAAAGCGATTTGAAGCATCTTTTATTGTATCAAAATGTAAATATGGTTTTGGAGGGGGGGGGTGACAGAGCTTTGTGACGTAATATTTGAGGGGGGTCTGACTTTTGTGACACCATGTGACGAGGGGGGGAGGGGGGTAAAAAATCGGCTAAAATCGCGTGACGTCATTTATGGACGGACCCTTACCTAATGAGGTCCAGATTTTTTTCCGGAAGACGGGGGTGATGTTTCGGCTATACGCGGGTTGACGCTGCTCAGATTCTCATCTCTGCGTTGAACAGTGGTGCCGTGGGAGTGCTGCATTCGTTGTAAGGTGTGAATGAATCGACTGCGAGAACGATGCGTGTGTATGCTTTCACGCGATCATGCAACACACTCATCACGCGCAACAGCGTAACGCAAACGTTCACATGTTGAAACGTGCATACGTGGCCGTCCGCTCATTGAGGACATCAGGCGGATGCCGAGATTGGCGAATCGTCGAGGTTCAAGTGACAGTGTTAGGGGGGCGAGTGGTGGGCGTGGGTGCCGCAGTGCTGGAAGAGAAATGGATGGTGACTCAGCATACTTTAGTATAATACCAAAGGCGGAAATCGTGTACAATTAGTTTAAGAAAGAAGGAGGGGAGGGCGGTGATAATTTCGTGCCCAGGAACGCAACCCTAATTTTCCCCGAATGTCTATCATTCGTCAAACGCGGTCCTGTACCCAACACGGCATCGTCCACGAACGTAATCCCCCCTGCGTTCGGCGATGTCTGCCTGCATTTCCATCCACTTTTGTGTATTCACAGGGATCCTTCCGCGGTGTAACTGTCAGCATGCTGGACCTGTAATCCAGAGGTCGATGCTATCTCTTGGTGCGGCAGTTGAAACAACGGGATACGTTTCTCAAATCCCACCATCTCTGTCCACCCAGTAGTATACGGCAAGGATTGTGAATGTTATCCTTGAGAATTTAATTCAAAGACAAAGTTGTAGGTACGAATTTTCTGAATATCATGAAGCTGGTCCGTGTAATCTCACACCATTTACACAACCCATGTTCTGTGAATGCATTGGATTGAAATCTTGGCAGTTGCCCTAAGAATGCCCAGCACCATCAACTTCAATCTGTGTTGCAGTTTTCTTTCTGTGGTTGTTCTATTAAACCAAGTAATTTCCAAAGCATGTGAAAGGCAGGCTCCAGTAACAGCTTACTCACCCACCACACACAATGCCACAAAGGCAGATCCCTTGTATGTGTTTAATAGCATTAGACCGTATATTGTACAGGGAAATAACATTTGAACAACGTGGATAGCTGAAGTATGTTTTCAAGAAATGAATACGTAGTTTATTTTAGTTATTATTTCAACACTAGATTTTGTACATTTTCTCTAATATAGAGTGTAGTACTTCTATGTTATCTCAATACGCTTTTATTTGAACAGCTTAGACAGAATTGAGTTTCATGGTCTCTTGCAAGAGAGACCTGGAAAAAGAGTAATTACACAAGCAGATACTTAAATTGAAACATGAAGATTACATAAAATGTGGGATTTTGGTTATAGAAACTTGCACACAGTGGACTATTATTGCAAATTAAGGTCACCGAGTGTTTAACGCACACTATACAACAGACAGCATGCTTTATTAATTCCTTCGAGAAGTTACCAACTCTTCAACTCTATACGAACTCGGTTAATTTGCCGGGCGGCGTATTTTATTGTTACAATCAAGGCCGTAGCCATGGAGTCAACATTGGGGGGAGATCAAATCTTCTAGGGGGTCTGGGGGCCCCCCCCCCCAAAAAAATCTAAATTTGAAAACGAATTTCCTGCCTAAAATATTTAAAAAATTACAATAATGTCTAATAGTGTATTGTATTACATTGCTCTGTGTTTTCTTTTTAACTTTTTCTTGTTTCATTGTGTGTAATGTCAGGGATTAGGGATTAATAAAGTACAATCATAACCACAATCATATGAACAGAAATCTATTTTATAGCAATATATTGGGGGGGGACATTTTGAGCATATTAGAATATTGGGGGGGGGGGGATGTGTCCCCCCTCCAATATCTATTATAATTACGGCCTTGGTTACAATTAATTTTAGCAGGCTATCCTAAACGCCGGATATTAATACATGATGTACTTACTACAACTATCAAGTTGTTTGGTCAAAGAAGTCGGTCATATTTTCATCAGGTTCTTACACGCTGATGAAAAAGGTATTTGTTCTGACACCAAGCAAAACTCAAATCAGTTGATATGAACCAACACAAATTGAAAAATTAAAAACAACAGTTGCAACGACATTCTATATTCGTAAATACAACAATAACTGCCATATACAGACAACAACAGATATTTATACAATTCTCCAACTTTGCGTTGGCAGAGGATCAGATGGAATTGAGTTTAGAGCCATAGACCCACCCTCAGGCAGAGAAATTCAGAAAAGCAAACCAGCCATACCGACCTACTGCTGAAATGTGCCTACTGATACGTGTTATTGTGCCTTTAATGCCAAACAATTAAACATGAAATTTAACTGAATTAGATTTGTTTTAAATGTCCTGAAGCCCATCAAGTGGCATTCTTGCTCGCGCCTTTTTCTCGTGTAGAGATAACAATTTCACAATTAACTTCAAGAATCCTGAGATAATTCATTTATCACGAGCAAATACATCGTATTTTTTTTTACCAACACTGCTTCAAATGACACCCCAGACTTGGACAATTATACGTGATTATACGTGATGGAGTAAACTGGATTGCCCAAAGAAAACCCACGTATAAGAAGGGATCACATTAATTTGCTATACACACTGTTCACCAACCCGCTTCCTTCACTCAACAACTTATTCACTGCAAGTCGGAGTATCATGAACATAATCTCAGCATTATCCACCATCCCTGCTCGAAGTCGCTGGATTACCAGGGCACCTTATCACATGAGCCAGATAACCTGTGTCTCAATTCCAAGCAGCGGTTTAAAAAAAATGTGAATAGGCATTGCTTATTAACATTCCTATTGAGACGCCGTATTGTTTGCAGTCAATATAAAACACTCTGGAAGGTGGTGGAGCCCTACAACGTAGCTGTTGTGATTGAGTGGGGGAAGTAACAAATAAATTCAGAAAACACCATTGTGGGTAGCGGGGCACTTAAATTGAGAGACTCCATAAAGCTCAAAGTGGGGAATTAAATAACCTGACAGTAACCTTAACGTGAACCCCAACTGTGGCCATAACACAAGCCTAACCCTATTCGTGACGCACAAATGCTCGCCCCAGTTTATAGCAAATCTGTGTAATTTGAGGACCTTTCAATTCCAACTTGTGGTCATTATTTAATTCTGCCCTATGAGCCTTGTGAATTCCTTGGATTCATGTGCCACACTCTGGCAATGGCTATTTTATGTATCCAATTTGTATTACTTTACCTCTCACATTGTGGAGAAGTGTTATGTGGGAGTCTCTTTCATTACCCAAGAGTGCTATAACCACAAATTTGAACTCTGACATGGAGTTTCTGCCATAAACTCAGCAGCATTACAGATGTTCCAATTTGTTTTAAATATGAGTATATGACATGAGCCAATGGTTTAAAGCCTAAAGCTTACAGGTAATGCCTGTGAGAAATTACTTGTGTAAATTATCAGTTGTAAAGTGGACATTAAAGACTCAGCAATGCTCATGGAAAAGGGGCCTCTATTGTGTCATTTCCAATTCCCAAATTTCACATTATGCTAAATTACATGATAAAACTACCATGTGACTACATTTCTGCTAACATATCAAAACAACTCAATACGTGATACCTATTGATACGTGAAACTCAAACAATATAAAAATGCATGCATTGTACCATTTTAAACACAACACCCCACTGCAAATATTATACTGTGTCATCTCCATTATTAGTTTAAATAATACATGTAATAAACTAATTATATCTAATAATGGAGATGAACACACTTTCAAGGTATTAGCAATTTAAATTGAAATTCCCTGATAGTCAAGGGCCATATAAAATAAAATGACTCATAATAAAAGCATACGCAGCTAATATATCAATGGTATGCACTTTAGTGGGTTATTTAAAATATGTGCAGTGTGGTCTATGAAAAAAATATTGCTCTGCGATGTGGGAGCTTCTTCAGCATGTGTGGAGCGAAACGTTGGGCATCATGTCACAGTATATTTAGATATGACAGGGCAATTAATGCTAATGAATAATTTCTCACAGCGATTGTACCAAAGTATGTTAACGCTTTGTCCTTGCTAAATGTCTATAGTTTCCGGGGCTGGCATTTTCAGCACCAAGGGCAGCAGCTGCCGCTGGACAAAATAATTGAGGCACTGCCCTCGCGTGTCCACATGGCCTTACTGCAAGATTCACTATGGCCATGAACGCACACGCTCAACAAGCTGAAACATGTCAAAGGTCCTGTGGTCCTATGTGACTATATTTACATGCACCCACACATTTAGTATATTTACACGGGACAGTGTGATGGTATAGGTTTTTTGTCAACTGTCGCTTTTTTTTCGTGGAATATTATCATTCATACTGCTAGCAGAATGCGATTGATATAAATTTCTGATTTCCCTCCAAAAAATCCTCGTTTAGAAAGTATATAGAAGGGACACGTCCTTGGTGTCATGGTTAGTACTTGCAATCCAGAGGTCGCCGGTTCTATCTCCCGTTGCTGTAATTGGAACGATGAATACATTTATTAAAAACCCCACCCCTTTCCACCCAGCAGTTCAAGTGGGTACACCGCAGATAATTAGTAGATCGCAAAAGGGGGTAAAGTGGGGGTAACTCCCACTTGTTACAAGGCGTCTGGCCAGCGTGGAAAGTAAACCAAAATACCCTCCAGAAGGATTTATGTAGAGCTCCCTCGCATGGAGACACTTCCAGCATCAGCAGGGTGAGCAGGTAATTGCAGGGCTGCACCTTTATCAAATATGCACGACTGTATACATATATTATTGGTGCTTTAAGTATATTAAATACAAAGCGTATGTAGAGCTGTATAGGTTTTGCAGGAGTGGTTATAATACATTGTATGTATACGAGTTTTCCTGGCTTCATTCGGTAGATGCGTTTTAAAAAAAGGGCGCACGAAGTGAAACCGCACGAGGCAACTGACTGCCGAGTAGCGCTCACACACACAATGCTGTCCCACGTCCGACCACAGAGCCGCATACCAGTGAATGCAAACCGCATATAACGAATTTTGGATTGAAATCGGTTTGCCGCATATACACCAAAATCGCACAACCCGTACCCGTATTGAACAAGGGAAACCCGTATATGTTAACAAGTATAGACAATGAGTATTGACAATCGACTTAGACTCAAATAGGCAAAACATTTATATACGTCTATTTCTGTTCACTGGTGACTTCGTTTGCAGTTCATATAAATGCGTATTCAGTTAAATTATCCCCTTTATTCCATTTCATCCGGGTCCCATTCCCGTATATTTATGCGATCACAAATTGGTAGAGATCTTAATTAGATACATGCCACAACATAAGCATTACCGTTACTGTGGAGAATATAAGTAACACACGACATAAAGCCGACGATAGTACTTCTGGCAGTGCATAATTCATGACAAGCAGTCTCTGGACAGGTTTCGACGTGCAGTGTCTCATTAGCAGGGTCAGGATAGCTTGATCCAATGCTGGTGAACTGCAAAATTATATAGTAGTAGGTTTTTACCCTTTAAACTGGTACAAAAACTGACACTTTTATACAAGGCATCATGTTTGCAATAACCACAACACAAGCAGTCAAAATGCAAACAAAAAGAAACAATTCTGATCATGATAATGATACGCACTGTCCTTGAAGTTTATTGGTCTACACCCGAGACAGCTTTTCTTAGAGCCTAGTCTCCATTGGTGTTGGACCAGATGACGCCAAAAGGCTTATCAATGTCATCTGGTCCAACACCAATGGAGACTAGGCTCTAAGAAAAGCTGTCTCGGGTGTAGACCAATAAACTTCAAGGACAGTGCGTATCATTATCATTATCAGAGTTGTTTCTTTTTGTTTGCATTTTGACTGCTTGTGTTGTGGTTATTGCAAACATGATGCCTTGTATAAAGGTGTCAGTTTTTGTACCAGTTTAAAGGGTAAAAACCTACTACTATATTTTGCCACTGGTAAAGGAGGTCTCAGTGCAAAATTATAATTTGAGAGCGATCTTCACGTCCAATGAAGAGCGTGTTTAGCAATCATCAGGCGCGTGTGGCGAGTACAGCAACTGCAATTTGTATTGTGCGTGGGGGGTGATTTTGTCACCATAAAGAAGCGTTTCGGTCCGTGTTGGCTCACGAGGAGCGGCGGCGTTCGGCAATCCCTGGTGTTTCTATTCGTGCACTGAAAATGCCCTCTGTATCGCAATACCGAGGGCTAACAAAAACATTTACGAGCGTGCGTGGCTCGTGTTTGCCTCGGCGCGTGGCTCTGGCTGGATCGGCGGTCCCGGCGCACAGTGTGTGTGATTGACAAATGCTCGATATTGTAAATTATCAGCGGCGCCTTGAAAACACAGCTTCTGGTCATGGTGAACAGCGGTGGCGAATCGATAGAACCATTAATAAATAGCAGTTAGCGGAGCAGAGATGTAATTTACAACCGCAAGGGAGATTATTCTGTGACTCAGCAAGCTGCACTGTTTTCTTTACTCCCTCCAATGTCCTTAAATTAACCGTAATTTCACGTATACACAATCGACGTCTATTAGTCGTTGCCCCTGTCTTGAATCAAATAATTAATTACCTAACCAACGTCTTTTGTGGATATACATTCACACAGGGGGCTTTGAAAGACATGGGAAATTACGCGCAATTGATTAATTATGCACCGTATTAGAATGGGGACCGCATACCCCTGCCATTACAAATATATAATCCGCGTGCCTCTCAATAAAGTGACTCTCTCTTAACGATTGGGCCTGCTGCAGTGGCTTTTATGGCGAGGCGTTTTACAACCGGCCAGTGGCATCAAGCTTGGCTCAGTGACTACAAGTATCGGTGGAAACTTCTTTTTGTAAACAATGGATTCTTCAAATGTACCGTGTTGGGGTATTTCAATTCAGATTGTACCCATTAAGTTATACACGAGATGAATATTCAACATATACATGCAACATAAAGCCAACCTACTTGTTGTGGTGTCTTATGCAAACTACTGCACCGCGTTGCTTTTGCAGCCTATGAGGCGCTCAATCCTGTGCTATTGTAAATCAGCAGGTACAAAGTGTGCTGGCATAATGGGACAAAAAACCTAGCCTGATGGCTTGCCCCCCCCCCCCCCCCCCCCATTCATCTCAATCAAGAGAGATAAAATGAGCACCACTTTCTGTGAAGTCAGCAGTAGTTTTCTCAAGGACGAGCAACGTTTCTCCGCCATAGGAACGTGGAATTTACATTATCCCCTTTGCCGGTTTTAACAAGCAAACGCTGTGCATGCACGTACTCAAATACGTACAGAGTGACCAATTTAGCGTCTTCACGTTCTTCCCAAAAAAAATAGTTACATTCAGGACTGTATCATGAAAGCGATTGGTCCACATCTTACAGAGAAGCGTGTTAAAATATGTAATCAGTGTACCGAGGCATGTAGAAGCTTTGAAATTAAATGTTGTATTATTTCGCTCCGATTTGAGTGTGGGATCTATGAATGGATCATCGTGCATCTAAACAACAATGTTGTGATATTAAACTTTTCCATTTAAGAGGTGCCCAGGAGTATGTCCGTCCGTACTGAAGAGGCTTTCCATGCATGTGTCATGTGGTAGCATGCGTGTGCTGTGTGTAGTTTATCCAGAAGGCATCTCAGCTCAACTCCTGAATGAGCTCCAGGCTGTACCTGCATATACTGAAGTGTGCAACCGTATACACAGAGTGCATTCACGGTACTATATATTAACGTTGTCCAATAATACAATAATACCATGAATTATATTGGTCGCGAAAAGCCTACGTGTTAAATTAATTTACAGTGGTCGATCCACTGTTGAAGGCGTCCCCACGCCGTGTCGGTCATGGGGGGTTGTTGGGCCATACTTCACCACTCTCGTCACGGCGGTTTGGTAAAGGGTGGAGAACAGTTTAGATATCACTTGATGGCCGGGAATAGAACTCATTCGCCGGGTTCATTGTGCAGTGCGCTAACCGCTGCGCCACCGCTCCACTGTGTGCGTGTATCAGCGAAGCGTCTATGTGCGAGGTACATGCACGCGCATTCCCGTTACCTCGCCTCGCTGAATATCTCCAGGCTGTAGGTGCATGACAGTCTATCCATTACGTGTCTTCTGCACTGTGTGTAGCATGTTGCATGTAGCATGTAGCATGTTGTCAGTGCTCTCGCCTCGTGGAAGAGTTCCAGGCCTGTAGGTGCACGACAGTCTATACATCACGCGTGTTCTGTGTGTAGCATGTTGCATGTGTGTCAGTGCTCTCGCCTCGTGGAAGAGCTCCAGGCTGTAGGTGCACGACAGTCTATACATCACGCGTGTTCTGTGTGTAGCATGTTGTATGTGTGTCAGTGCTCTCGCCTCGTGGAAGAGCTCCAGGCTGTAGGTGTTGTCGTCGTCCGCGAAGAACACGACCCCCCGGTCGCGGGACGCGGCTCTGTTCCTCCGCAGCCACTTGAGGCCCTCGTTGCGCTGCTCCGTGGCCCTGGGCTGCCCCGCTCGCTTGAACCTCCTCGGCGTGGCCACGTTGAGGTGCGTGTGCGCCACGCCGCAGCCGGCCAGCAGGGCGCCCACGAGGGCCGTCTTCTGGCCAGAGTCCTCCACCACGAGCCAGTGGAAGCGCGGCACCTGGCGGAACGTGTTGGCCAGCCGCGTGAGCTCGGCCTTCTGCACGGCGCGGCTGTACGTGGGGGTGATGCAGTACACCACGGGGATGGCAGCGGGTGACGACGCCGATGATGACGACGACGACGACGATGAAGAAGACAACGGCGGTGGCGATGGAGGTGCCGCAGGAGGATGCGGATCTGGTGGCCCCAAGAGCTCTTTCGAATGCCGAATCATGAGCTTGCGCTCTGTGTTCAAATCCAGAACGAGAACGAGCACCAGGATCCACGGGGCTATGATGATGAAGCGGCTGTAGACGTACGCCTTCATCGCGCACGCTCGGTGAGACATTTAAACTCGCGCAAACATTACAGCGAGGCGCGTGTCACTCTCGCTCGCTCGCTCGTCTGCGTCGCGCAGAGCCTCGATTCCATGGCATGGGTTGGAGCGTGAATGTTCGGCACAACTCGAGGGCTCCGTGTGGACACAGCGCGTCCCCCTCGGCTCCCTCTCCCCTCTCTCTCTCCGCTCTCCCTCTTTGCTCAGCGCCCGCGTGAGAGTTTACACTTTTCGTGTACGTCCATATCGAATGTATCCCCCACCCCCGCCGGCCCCCCGATGTCCACCAGCCACCGCTGGATTTGAGCCTCAAGCGGGCGCAGACGACAACTTGTCTTTGCGCTTGTGTGCTCAGTTATGATCACCGCCCATTCTCCCGACACTGCATCATCGACCACACAAGTGCGTGTGTGTGTACGTACAGTCTACAATATCGGTGGCAGGAACCGTCGTAACCTTATGGGATGCGTGTCTTCAAACAGCACGCTATATTCCCCCCCCCCCACTCATACAAGCGGGTGGGTAGGAGGGCCAGTGGGTGGGTGGGTGGTCATACAGCGTAGGAGATGAGGACGAGGAGGAGGAGGGATGCTTGGTTCTAACTTTTAACCTCACACCGTTAATGCGCATCTCCCAAAGGAGGCAGCGGCTCGCCTTGCAAGGGGAAATGCGTTTGCATTCAACTCCCACCGCCAGCCACTTTGCAGGATATCGCCTTACAAGCGATTCATCTTTGCAGTCAATTTGTCTGCTCCCTTTGTCGACGAGCATGATTATCCTATGCTGTGTAGAGGCACACGTGCATATGCAGTATACACACACCGAACGCGCATGTAGGCACCTGTATGTGTATGAGCATTGTTGATATCGGCTAAGACGCTCAATTGTGAGCAGCAGGTTGTGGCGCGTCAGGCTTTTACTCATGAATTGAGATGTTTGACGACAGCGAGAAGATCGTGGTCATCATCGTCATCATCACTCTGAGAGTCGAAAGTCGTGTATAAAATAAGCGTTCTCGCCGGTGAGTTAGGTAATGCTGGAGTCCACGGGCTGAATTCCCCCATATTTTATCCTTGAATTTGTGCGAGACCTTAAAACAATGCACAGAGTTGCCTGTCTGTGAAGCCGATGGTAAAGACCCCGTGGTATCGTGGGCCACTGTGTGGAAATATAATTACAAAATCAAATCGAATGTCTCTCCGTGCTTAGAGAAGCATTGCAGCGATGCTTATCTCAGTTTGCGTGCCCTGAGCCGTCTGAAAATTCCGCATTTAGACAGCAGTGCCAATTTCCTTATCGTGCAATATCTGTTTTTGTTACACAAAGTTATACTTATGTTATTGACTTGAAAGCGGTGATAGACTCAATCAACTTCGATCTTAATTTTAAGTCGTAACCCGCAAATACACTGGAGGCGGGGAAGGGCGGTATCTACGTTATTATGACGTTCCAAATCTTTCTTGCGAAATGGAAAGTAAATCACAACTAGATCTCAGCTGGGCTAACAGAAATTAAAATGGCAGACAGGCTGGCACACACACTAATGCGTATTCACCAACGAGCACCTTGTTATCCTAATACGCAAATTTACGCATGAAAGACTAAGGAAATTGCGCCCAGCGCACGGAGAATCGATGCAACCGAAACGTTAACCTTGCGTGAAAACTGCCGAATCCCAACTCACGTGGCACGTGCAGCACATTGTCTCGCTCGTCCGTGCCGCCCGCTTCGTGCTGCGCGTATATCATTATAAATCCCAAGTCAGACGCAAATACACACGAGGAGCTGGGAGGAACAGCAGCGGCGCTCCAATAACGCACCAGCGCAGGTTGCGTGGCGCCCCTCGCTGGCAATATGATTTGCGTCTTAATAACGCGTCTGGGACGAAAAGCAATCTATATTATTGCTTGCTAAGCGGGATTACTATTTTATAAGAGCGCCTGCACGCCATGTCCGCACTCTGGTAATGGAGGCTATATATAATGTGCTGATGCGCTAAAAAGGGATCACTCTGCGCCTCGCAACGCATTTGCCATTCAGGCTCCGGCAATCGTGATTGCAGCCCATACGAGCGCTCGCATTGTAACCTTTGCCCAACCGAGAGCCCATTGAGGGTTCATAATCCATTTTGAATGATGGCCCTTTAACCAGGTGAGCCCTTTGAGCTTCATCAATTTGCTTTTTATTGAACCAGGTGAGAGCTAATTGAGATGTATATATTTTTGGTGGGTCTTGTAAGTGGTTTATTTAAGATGTTATTCTTATGCACATGACGCCGGGTACACAATGGCCTGCTGTCTTGAATGGCGTCAGAAGCCTTCAAATGTCAACTTAAGAGCAGACGGACACCATTGCCAACAATCGTACCAACATTATTTTGCACAAAGATCGCCGATATGGCTGTTTAATATCAACCTTGAGCTTGCTATTAAACATGTTAATAAATTGATGTCTCGATGCGTGCATCTAAATGGACATTGTAATAGTCCTAAAATTATATGGATATTAAAATATTGACCTTTAGTCGTAGATTTGTTTGTGATGTCAAAATTATTGCATGAGCTCAAGGTATATTGTCCACGAAGTGCAATTGCTTTGGCCATCACACAATGCAACATTGAGCAAATTCCTGAAATTTAAGACCGCAAATGGATTCTCTCGCCATAATTTAAATAAAGCAAATTACGTGAAATGAAACATTTAAATGCTCGTTTAAATGCAGGTCAAAGGAGTCGAGGCAGGTTGACTCATGGGCCACCCAACCCACATGTGCAGACAGTGAGGGGAATTGTATCGCCTCATTCACCGAAGTAACTGTTCCTCCTCAACCTGTCCCAGGGACTGTTTGTTCTTGGGATTTTCTGGATGAAAGAACATAGTATAGCCTATTACTTCTAAAACATTTCATATAATATGGTACAATCGGATTTTTCCTGAAACAGCATCAGAACCCAAGCTTTCAAAAGCACTGCACGTAAGAAGGACGTGAAACTAGACGGCGTATATTCACAAAATATAACAAGACGTAACATTTGTTATTTTTAAAAAGTGAAATTGCATTCAACTAATGTGTTTATAGAGATGCCGTGAGCCTGGCGATCTGTGTTCAATTCCCGACCACAACTCGCAACAGTGGTAAGTGACATCTGAGCTGGGACCTTCAGCACGTACGATCAAACAACCCCACGACTCTCATCCACACAGTAGATTAACAAAGGGCTCTAAATGATCTTCTTGGTTCTTTCGTGACTTTACCGAAAGAACCAAGAAGATGAATCCCTGCAGTCACGAAAGCTTTAAATCGGCTCTAAATGAGTATTATTAAAATACATTGATAGACTATATACGGACACACATACACACATCCTCACTTATGTATACTCTGATGTTGTTCTAGAAGGGCAAAACAATTATGTTGGCACACAATGGCCTACGCTTTTGAATGAGATCATGGGATCTTTAACAACCACTGTGAAGCATACGACGTGATTTATTTTGGTTGAAACACCCGCAGTGTTAACCAGGACGGCCTCTGGATGTGAACCGTAAACATCTGCAACGAGTGGTGAATGCGCGACCGCTATAGGCCCTGTCCCCGTGCAAATTTCAGAGTGGGCAAAGCCCTTTGTCACTTATTAGTATTCTACAATAATGTAAGTGAGCGGAAAATGTGAACCTGACATTCATATCCACCTCAGCAACTGCAATTGTGTGTTCTGCCTATTGACAGCTTGATATTGTGCAGTGTTTAACGCAGCCACCGGTAATGGGTTTTAAGTAATAGGCCGTGTATTTAATATTGTGTGTGGGTTCGTCTGCCAATGAGCGCCATGGGACTTTAATAAGCTTCGCGTCGGAGTGGGTTTGGATTAAGAGACGTGCTGAGTTATTTAACTAATGAAAACTTTGCACGCAAAACATCGGTTATGGAACGACAATATTTGCATTAAAGATACGAGGAAATAACAAATGAAGAAAAAATGCCATGTAAAAAGGTGCACAGAAAATTAAGTGTGCACACATTTAACTGTAAATAAGAAATATTACATGTAGACCGGTAATACAAATCTGCAATTTCAATATTTGCAAATTACTAAATTATTTTTAAAAACACAAACATTGAATCAATTGTATAAATGGGTGTTTAACAAAGCAATTATACTACAAATTAACAATTATTGTGACAAAATGCATGAGGTGTATATTTCGCTTACGATGAAGGTGGTAAAAAAAGGGGGAGCGGTAGTGTAGCGGTATGAACCTAGCGACCCGGGTTCGATTCCCGCTCACGACCAACACCAGTGACGATTATCTGAGCCGGTCCTGGGCCTCCCCTAGGTCGACTCAGCTTGAAACGAGTACGTAGTGTGTAAACATCGCCACTGGGGAGACAAAGGCGGTCGGGCGTGGTGCTGGCCACCCAACTCCTCGTGCCTTCATAGGTGCTCGCTAACAGCACTTGCCCCTCCAGTCCTGTGAAGCCTATACGGGGGATCTTTGTCTTTCTTTTACGTTCACCTCAGGTTCTTTCGCGCTAACGCCTTTTTAACGTTGCCGTTCTCTTAAATCACACAAAACGCGTGCAAAGTATCCTTGTGTGCAAAGCCCTTCTGCGGCAGTTTGCACGAGACCTTTAGAAAACACAAAGTGGTGTGCGTGCGTGCAGGCGGGCGAGGGACAACGTGAGCGCGTGATCTCCCACTGGATTGATGTGCCTTGCTCAGTCTCACACTGCACTGCGTGTCGAAGAGCGCGTGTCTGGTCAAGACTCTTCGTTTGTGCTCCACACCTGAGCTCCAGGCGTGAGATGCCTGTGGGAGCGATTGCGCTCGGCCTAAGAGGGCAGTTGGGTTTATTTGTTGCCTGTCCATTGGCAGAGAACTCAGCAGCTCCTGCTGCTGCTGCTGCTGCTCTTTTTTCAGACTCTTGTCAGAGTTTGTTAAGCATCCCGGGCTGCAGTTTTATGTCCTTGTTAGTTCCACGCTCACCATAGGCCGTTGGGATGTAAATCAGGTCTTTTGACATGTGAATCCGATGTAACATTTGAGTTGTTTTACAAAAAAAAAATCTTAGTCGTACAAAAATATGTATCTATCCTGGACAGCATCATTAATTTGTGGTTAATTGATGCGATCTCATTTGATAATTTAATTTTGTTTCCTCCATAGGCTTGGCACGTTGAGCTCCTGCTTGTCAATTAAATGTGAAATATTTTGGGCCGGCAAATGCACCCCTGCACTTGCATTCAGCAACGGCTTATGGATACAACCGCACAGCCAACGCGCAAAGGTCTTGTTGTAGTGTTGAAGTTGTTCATGTTTTTGCTCAAACGGATGGTGTTTGTTCGTTTCGTTTAAAAAATTCAACAACCTCTTGCAGCGCTTAGGGATAAACCTCGCAGCCTTCAAACAAGTTGTGAAACGTACATGGTTTTCTTTGTTTAT